GACAGGAGACCCAGGCTGGCATTCCTCGACCTTTGGAAAGCCTGGAAATCCCATCCATCCTCCGAAAAACACCGCGGTGCTCCAGGCACGGCATTGTGGAGGAGCTGGAATTGTTCTCCTGCATTCCCAGGGCTTGGACAGAAAGTTTGGGGCCAGGATGGAGCATCTGGAATTTGTGGGATGGGGGGGAAAAAATCCCCCTTTTTCCAAAAGAGAGCAGCCAATTCCCCATCCCAGACAGGGGCAGCATCAGGAAATTGCTCCAAGGGGGGAGAAATCACCCGGGAAATTCGGATTAAAAACCACCAGCAGCAATTCCCAGCTCTTTATCCCATTTTAGCCGAGCCCATCTTCCTGGAAAGCGCCAAACGAGCACTCAGCTCTTTAATTGCCTCCCTTTCAAGGCTTTTTCCATCTCCGAGATCCATTATTCCCTCTCAGGGAAGGATGGGGGGAAGATGATGGATGGAAGATGCAGCAATTAATAATTTCACTAATGAGAGATGCTAAGCTCTTCGCTGCCTCCCCAGCTGGGAGTGAGCCATAAAAACAAAATAAAATAAAGAGTCCAAACCTTTCACAAAACCTGTTTGAAGCTCAGATTAGGGGGGAAAATCCCAGAGAGGGAGAATCCTAAAAGAAAACCAGGATTTTTTTAAGGGAAGCTCTAAGGAAAAGACACAAATCCTGCTCAGAGTAGGATAATTCATTAAAAGTGGCTCCTTTTTTTTCAAAATGCATAAAACAATCCCAATCTGTGCTGCCTTTTAATTATTTAAAGGTGCTTTTAATGTGTTGTTGGGCTGTGGCAACAGCTTTCCCTGGGGTGTGTCTACAAAATAATGAGGCTTGGAGAAATTGGGATGAATTTTTTATGATTTTTGATGATTGGGCCGAGGACATTGGCAGAGATTTATTTTTAATTCTCCCAGTTTTTACCAAGAGAAAGAAATTGAGAGTCCATGGCTGCGAAGTGCTGAAAATCCGAGGTGGAAAAAGAAGAAATTGGAGAAGAGAAGGAGGTGATGGAGCAGAAAGAGAGGCCTCAGCAATTCCTTCTGTTTCTAAAATGAAAAATGGGATTTTTCTCCTCAAATTCCCATTTATGGACAGACAAAAGTCAGGATTTTCCCTTTGAGTCTAAACACAATTTCTTTATGCTCCCTGATGAAGTATTTTCCATAAGGATGGAAAATCAAAAATCCAGTTTTGGATTTTTTTCTCTCTTGGAGCATAAATAAAAACTCTTTTTAAATCTCCTCTTTCTCCCAAATCTCCTCTCCTGTCATCCAAAGCCTGGCTGAGGAAAGGTGAAGCCTTTCCTGAGGGAAAATCCCTGCACTTCACTTCGATTTCATCACCTGCTCTGGTTCCTCCTTAACCTGTGTCAGCTTTTCCCTGAAAAATGAACTTTTCATTTCCTGTCAGCACCAGGAGAATTTTCCTGCAATTCAGGACAAATTCCATAAAAATCCACCTGATCTGGGTCAGCCAGTGGAGATGGGGAAGGTCAGGGAGCATTTCCAAGGATTTTTTGGGAAGAGAAACATCCTCTGGAGCATGAGGAGAAGCAGATCCAGCTCTGGAGCAGGACTGGGGTGGGAAAGGGAATTTTCCATGCCCTGGGTCCCCTCCTGGAGCCTGGAATGGGGAGGAAGATGAGGCAGCAATTCCCGACTTCCATCTCCCCTTCCCAACTCTCCAAAGTTTCATTTCTCCTTTTGGAAAAGGGAAAATGGAGGGATGGGCTCTGGATCATTGGGGGATTATCCCTGAAATCACAAATCCAGTGGGGCAAGAAATGAATGGAGTGATTCGGTGCTGGGAAATGAAGAGATCAGGCTGCAATTCCAGAATTCAGCAGGACCCTCTGGAAGCAGAAATGGACTTGAGGTGATCCTGATCCACAAAGGAAACCTGGATTCTGTTGGCTGAGACAAACACTGGATGGAGAAGGAGCTGGAGGGGAGGGTGGTTCCCATCCTGAGGTTTTTTATGTGGATTTTCAGGGATTTTATGTTTATTTCCAGGATTTTTTAATGTTAATTTTCAGGAATTTTTTTGTGCATTTCCAAGATTTTTAAGTTCATTTTCAAGTCCCCACCACCTAAACCTGACCAATCTGTTATTCCTCTTTTTTTTAGAGGGGGAAGAGTAAAAGACAGAAATGAGAAAAATTGGCATCTGTTCAGGAATGGGGGGGGGGGAAAAGCAAAATAATATCGGGAAGAGAAATCGCTGCAGCAAAATCCAAGGAAAAGGAACATCCACGAGGCAGGAAAGCGAATCCTGCACTTGGATCCCTCGGGAAAACCTTCCCTGGGAAGCTGTTCCTGCTTGGAATGGGCAGAGGCAAAGCAGGACCTGCTGAGAGCCTGGGAGCTGCTGCTGCTCCCAAAACAGCTTTTTTTGGGATGATTTTGGGGCCGGGTGCACTCCCTGCTTGGAAATTCCCGCTTTTCTGAGCTGGGAGAAGGCTGATTGGAATGTGGGAAATGTGTGTTGGGTGTGGGGGACATCAGAATTTTCCAAGTTTGGGAGAGTTGGAATTGTGTTGTGGCGATGCAGGGCGGAGCTGGGATATCCGGGATCGGGTTTTCCTCCTTGGAAACGCGAGGAGGAGGAGGAGGAGCTGTCCCTGGTGCTGGAAAAGTTCTTTCCCTGCTCCCACGTTTTGGGAATAGCGAGGAGGGCAAAGCCAGCAGAAGGCTCCATGCAGGACATGCACAGCTCAAATTCCCCGCTCAACCCTTCCAATGGACACCGGGAATGGGAGGAATCTCCTGGATCAAAGCCCTGGGAGAGCTACAGGGAATCTCCAAAAAAAACAAAAAAATCCCAAATTTCCAGCTGCGACCCCACAGGTGCTGGGAGCCAGAAATGTTCTGGGGTTTGTGGGGTGGGGATGGAGAGGGTTAAAAAGGGAGAGGGGGTTTGTGTAGGGCTAGGGTTAAAATCCTCTGTGAGAGGGGAAAAGTTCTTAATTAGGGAAAAAAATCTTTAATAGGGAAAATCCCTCTTTAGTAGGGAAAAATCCCCTTCTGTAACAAGGAAAAATGCTTCTTTAGTAGGGAGAAAATCCCTCTTTAACAGGGGAAAACCTCTATTTTTCCTATGGGGAAAAAACGCCCCTAAAATAGGGGGAAAGCCTTTAATAGGGGAAAACCCCTCTTTAATAGGGCAAAACCCCTCTTTAATAGGGTGAAAATCCCTCTTGTTAAATGGGAAAAAAATGCCTTTAATAGAAGGAAACAAAGTCTTTAATAGGGAATAAAACATTTTTCATATGGAAAAAATCCCATCTAAAACAGGGAAAAAGACCCCTCTAAAACAAGGGGGAAACCCCTCATTAATCGGGGAAAAAACCCTGTTTAAAAGGTAGAAAAATTGTTTAATAGGGAAAAAACTCACAACACCTCTTTAATATGGAAAAAAAGCCCTTTAATAGGCAAAAATGCCTCTCTGTAATATGGGAAAACAACCCCTCTAAAATAGGTTGGAATACCTTCATTAAAGGGGAAAAAACTGTCTGTGTTAGGGGAAAAAAACCCCCACTAATATAGGGGGAAAAAAATCATTAAAATATGAAAAAAACCCTCTTTAACATAGAAAAAAAATCTTTAATATTGAAAAAAACCTGTTTAACAAGAAAAAAAAAACCATTTTATTAGGAAAAATAAAAACCTCTTTAATAGGGAAAAAAAAAACCCCACTTAAAAATGGAATAAAAGTCTTTAATGGGGAAAAAACCCCACTTTAAAATGAAAAAAACCCCCTCTTAAATAGGGAAAATAACCCCTTTTTAATAGGGAAAAATCCCATTTTAATGGGAACTCGACTCTCCTTTGGGCTCGCCCAGCCCATGGCCACCGTGGTTTGGTTTTCAAGAGATTTTTGAGCGGCTTTTAAGCCTGGCTTAGGGACCTTTTAATCTTTGCCTGCCCTGCTGTGGAGCCGCCCTGGTGCCCTTTGTGCCTGGAAGGATTGAAATGCCCAATTGGCGTGGCCATTGGAAGGGTTTTAACGAACTTCTCGGCTTAATTGGCAGCTTAATTGGCAAGCTCCGTTGCCCCCATGCCGGTTACCTCCGGGTACGGTACCTGGGCTTGGCGTGGCTTCGGAGGCAGCGCCAGGGATAGAGAGAGAGAGAAAAAGGGGGGAAAATGGGAAAACGGAGAGAAAGAGGGAAGAGAAAAACACAGGAATTTATCAAACAACCCCAACGCGCCGCCAGGACACTCGGAGTCATCGGAGAGCAGAGAGAGAGGGGGAAAATGGGATTAAATCCAACGTGAGGCAGGGTCTGGAATCCAGGAATCTGGGATAAATGAGGAATTGGGGATAAACCAGGAATCGGGGATAAACCATGCCAGCGAATCTGGGATAAACCAGGAATGAGGGGTAAACCACACCAGGGAATCAGGGATAAACCAGAAATCAGGAATAAACCAGGAATCAGGGCTAAACCAGGAATCAGGGATAAACCATGCTAGGGAATCCGGGATAAACCAAGAATCAAGGATAAACCATGCTAGGAAATCAGGGATAAACCACACCAGGGAATCAGGGATAAACCAGAAATCAGGAATAAACCAGGAATCAGGAAATCTGGGATAAACCAGGAATGAGGGATAAACCATGCCAGGAAATCTGGAAAAAACCAGGAATCAGGGGTAAACCACACCAGGGTATCAGGGATAAACCAGGATTGGCAATAAACCAGGAATCAGGGATAAACCACACCAGGGAATCAGGGATAAACCAAGAATGAGGGATAAACCATGCCAGGGAATCAAGGATAAACCATGCCAGAGAATCAGGGATAAACCACACCAGGGAATCAGGGATAAACCAAGAATCAGGGATAAACCATGCCAGGGAATCTGGAATAAACCAGGAATCAGGGATAAACCAGGAATGAGGGATAAACCATGCCAGGAAATCTGGAAAAAAACAGGAATCAGGGATAAACCATGCCAGGAAATCTGGAAAAAAACAGGAATCAGGGATAAACTACACCAGGGTATCAGGGATAAACCAGGATTGGCAATAAACCAGGAATCAGGGATAAACCAAGAATCAGGGATAAACCATGCCAGGGAATCAAGGATAAACCATGCCAGAGAACCAGGGATAAACCACACCAGGGAATCAGGGATAAACCAGGAAT